AATAGAATTTCCCTGGTGGTGCCCAGAGTGGCCACCAGGGAAAGCTGGGGAGGGCTAGCCTACCACTAGTTCGAATTAAGGGGCTACACAGCCCTTAATTCGAACTAATAAGTTCGAACTAGGCTTAGTCCTCGTAGAATGAGGTTTACCTAGTTCGAACTAAGTGCTCCGCTAGTTCCAATTAAGTTCCAGCTAGCGGAGCGCTAGTTTCCCTGGTGGTGCCCAGAGTGGCCACCAGGGAAAGCTGGGGAGGGCTAGCCTACCACTAGTTCGAATTAAGGGGCTACACAGCCCTTAATTCGAACTAATAAGTTCGAACTAGGCTTAGTCCTCGTAGAATGAGGTTTACCTAGTTCGAACTAAGTGCTCCGCTAGTTCCAATTAAGTTCCAGCTAGCGGAGCGCTAGTGTAGCGCTTATCAAAGTTAATTCGAACTAACGTCTGTTAGTTCGAATTAACTTTGTAGTGTAGACATACCCCTAGTGTTTCCCACTTCTCATTCCGTCGAAAGCGCCTGCTTTTGGGCACTGCTGGAAAGCAGGAGACTGGATTGGATGGACTCGGCATGGCCATTCTGACACTGTTATAGGGAACCTGCATGTATCTGTCCCTCTAGAGAATCCAGAACGTCTACACCCCTCCCAGATCTGCAGGAGAAACCAAGAGGCCTGTCAGAGTTTCTCCTTCTCTGCAGAGTTACTAACAAAGAAATTACAGGAAATTATTAACCTAACAAGGGTTCTGAAGAGACTAGCCACGACATATGAGACCATGGTGGGATTAGAGCTCGGTGCTTTTATTATTGTTTTATATTTCTTTCTTTTCTATAAGAATGAGATATAGTTCTCCTGTCAGCTAATTTCTCTGCCAGAAAACTGGAGCTTTCAAGGGCATGAGTAGCCACTGGTATGAAGCTCAAAATCCCCACAGTGACAAAAGATAAAATGGCTCCCTTGTAGCATTGGGAAGGGGAGGGAGAGATGATCCAGCGAGTGAAGAGGAAAGGGTGGCAGCAAATGATAGGGGCAGAGTCCTGGGCAGTAGAAGAATAGAAGAAGCAAGGGTTATGGCCATGAAAGCACAGTCAAGAACAATTGGACTGGTGGCTCACCTATCACTTAATCAGCTTCCCTATTGAGTCATGCTGATACATTACAGAATGGTCAGGAAATGAGCTATGTCCTTTTGGGTATGTCTACACTACCCCCCTAGTTCGAACTAGGGTGGTTAATGTAGTCATACGGAGTTGCAAATGAAGCCCGGGATTTGAATTTCCCGGGCTTCATTTGCATGAAGCCGGCCGGCACCATTTTTAAATGCCGGCTAGGTTGGACCCCATGCCGCACGGCTACACGTGACACGGACTAGCTAGTTTGTATTAGGAAGCCTAATCCGAACTAGCTAGTTCGTGCCGCGTGTAGCCACGCGGCACGCAGTCCAAACTAGCCGGCATTTAAAAATGGCGCCAGCCGGGATCATGCAAATGAAGCCCAGGAAATACAAATCCCAGGCTTCATTTGCAACTCCGTATGACTACATTAACCACCCTAGTTCGAACTAGGGGGGTAGTGTAGACATACCCTTTGATTAACTAGTACCTAATTTAGGACAGAGGGCCCACAGCCATGTCACCTGCCAATAAAACCTTTATGTTCTTTTGTGAGGCAAGAGATGGAGAAGCCTGTCCCGTATCTGTCTGGTCCTCACCCCATAGATGATGGGATTAACCATAGGGGGCACCAGGAGGTACACATTGGAAAGGAGAACGTGGAAATGCAGGGCCACACTGTGGCCAACTCGGTGCATGATTAAGGAGAACAGAGCTGGGACATAAAATGCTAAGATGGAGCAAAGATGGGAGCCACAGGTGCCAAAAGTTTTGAGCCGGGCGTCCTTGGTGGGGAGGCTGACGATGGCCCTGAGGATCTGGATGTAGGAAATGGAGATAAAAATCAAATCCAGACCGGTCACAAAGAATAACAAAAAGAGGCCGTAGTAAGAACTCATGCGGATGTCGGCGCAGGCCAGCTTCGCCACGGCCATGTGCTCACAGTAGGTGTGGGGGATGAGGTTGGTTCTGCAATATGGCCACTGCCTGGTCATTAAAAGATTGGGAAGTGTGAACACGCTGCTGCGCAGGGCCACAGCCAGACCTGTCTTGCCCACCACGGGGTTTGTCAGGATGGTGGAATGTCTCAGGGGATGGCAGATGGCCACGTAGCGATCCAAAGCCATGGCCACAAACATCCCAGATTCTGTCACTGAAAAGCTGTGAATGAAGAACATCTGGGTGAGGCAGGCACTGAAATCGATCTCCCTGGAATTGAACCAGAAGATGCTCAGAGCTTTGGGCAGGATGGAGGTGGTCAGGACCAGGTCGGTGACAGCCAGCATGCAGAGGAAATAGTACATGGGCTCATGGAGGCTCGGCTCCCTCTTCACAATGAAGAGGATGGCGACGTTCCCCAAGAGGGCTATGGTGTACATGGCACAGAAGGGGATGGAGATCCAGACATGGGAGGCCTCCAGGCCAGGGATGCCCACCAGGATGAAGTTGGAGGGGTTGGTGAAGTCGGTTGAATTGAAATTTGACATGGAGAAGAGGAGGTTTCCAAATCTGAGGCAGAACGGTGTCTCGTGCATGTATCACATGTTCCCCTCAGTCTCTGTAGGTGCTCAGGTTCCAGAGGGACGGTTGCAGGAGAAAAGCCTGGATGGAGAGAGAATGTTAATATGAGACACGACAGGCACTAAGTGAGCGTGGTATTTTTTTTTTTCATTTTTTGAATGGGTGAAGCAGATTGGTCGCTTTTCACACTCTAAAAAATGACAAGTTCATTATTCTGATACTGAGTTATGAACAACTGACCCCACTAATGGCACTTCCATATCTGATGGCGCTCCATGTGCCAGTAATTCCTACCCAGCATGGTATGGAAAACCCTTATGTGCCCCCGCAGGAAACACAAGTGTGGATATTAGTTATTGCTCCTCATTGTTCCTTAATGCAGGGAAAGCCAGGCTAGAGAGTCTATGCTGAACAGCGTGCATCATGCAGCCATTTTCCCAACACTGAGACTGTAAACCACCCCAAATCTTTGCCAAGACAAGTGCCAGGGAAAACCAACTAGAGCACCCCTCATCTAGGTTCAGGGCAATTCTTCAAGGAAGAAAGGAAAGTTGACAATGTTGCAGAAATGTAAGATGTGTACAAGAGATAGCTGTGTTCTGCATTTTGAGGTATTCATACCTCATGGGTGACCCAATACTTTCCAAGGTGTAGGCAGTCCAGCAAGATGTTAAGCAGCACGGACAGCGGAAGCCCAGAAATATGAACATCAACATGGAATCATAGAATACTAGGACTGGAAGAGACCATGAGAGGTCATCGAGTCCAGTCCCCTGCCCTCATGGTCTAGACCCAGTACTGTGTAGATCATCCCTCATAGACAGTTATCTAACCTACTCTTAAATATCTCCAAATATGGGGATCCCACAGCCTCCCTGGGCAATTTATTCCAGTGTTTGACCACCCTGACAGGTAGGAAGTTTTTCCTAATGTCCAACCTAAACCTCCCTTGCTGCAGTTTAAGCCCATTGCTTCTTGTTCTATCCTCAGAGGCCAAGATGAACAAGTTTTCTCCCGCCTTCTTATGACACCCTTTTAGAAACCTGAAAACCGCTAATATGACCCCTCTCATATTCTCTTTTCCAAACAAAACAAGCCCAATTCTTTCAGTCTTCCTTCATAGCTCATGTTCTCTAGACCTTTAATTGTTCTTGTTGCTCTTCTCTGGACCCTCTCCAATTTCTCCACATCTTTCTTAGAAAGTGGTGCCCAGAACTGGACACAATACTCCAACTGAGGCCTAACCAGCGGAAGAATGACCTCTCGTGTCTTGTTCACAACACACCTGTTAATGCATCTTAGAGTTATGTTTCCTTTTTTTGCAACAGCATCACACTGTTGATTTATATTTAACTTGTGGTCCACTATAACCCCCAGCTCCCTTTCTGCCATGCACCTTCCTACACATTAGCTTCCCATTCTGTATGTGTGAAATTGATTGTTCCTTCCCAAGTAGAGCACCTTGCATTTGTCCTTATTAAACTTCATCCTGTTTACCTCAGACTATTTCTCCAATTTTCCAGATAATTTTGAATTACGATCCTATTGTCCAAAGCACTTGCAACCTCTCCCAGCTTGGTATCATCTGCAAACTTAATAAGTGTACTCTGTATATCGATATCTAAATTATAGATGAAGTTATTGAACAGAACTGGTCCCAAAACAGACCCCTGTGGAACGCCACTTGTTACTCCTTTCCAGCAGGATTGTGAACCGTTAATAACTACTCTCTGGGAATGGTTATCCAACCAGTTATGTACCCACCTTATAGTAGCCCTATCTTAGTTGTATTTGCCTAATTTATTGATAAGAATATCATGCGAGACCATGTCACATGCCTTACTAAAGTCTAGGTATACCACGTCCACCACTACTCCCTTATCCACAAGACTTGTTATCCTATCAAAAAAAGCTATCAGACTGGTCTGACATGTCTCTTCTGCCGACTAAAGAAGCCCAAATCTCTCAGCCTTTTCTCATAGGTCATGTGCTCCAGCCCCCTCATCATTTTGGTTGCCCTCCGCTGGACCCTCTCCTATGCATCCACATCCTTTCCATAGTGGGGTGCCCAGAACTGGACACAATACTCCAGGGCTGTGTCCAGACTGGCAAGTTTTTCTGCAGAAGTAGCTGCTGTTGTGGAAAAACTTGCCAGCTGTCTACACTGGCCACTTGAATTTCCGTAAGAACACTGATGATCTCATGTAAGAAATCAGTGCTTCTTGTGGAAATACTATGCTGCTCCCGTTTGGGCAAAAGGCCTTTTGCGCAAATGCTTTTGCACAAAAGGGCCAGTGTAGACAGCTCAGATTTGTTTTCCGCAAAAAAGCCCGATCGCGAAAATGGCGATTGGGGCTTTTTTGCGTAAAAGCGCGTCTAGATTGGCCACAGATGCTTTTGCGCACTTTTGCGCAAAAGCATCCGTGAGAATCTAGACGCTCTTTTCTGCAAATGCTTTTAACGGAAAAGCTTTTCCGTTAAAAGCATTTGCGGAAGATCATGCCAGTCTAGACGTAGCCCAGATGTGGCCTCACCAGTGCCAAAAGAAGAGGACTAATCACTTCTCTAGATCTGCTGGCACTGCTCCTCCTAATGCACCCATGTATGCCATTAGCCTTCTTGGCTATAGGGGTGCCCTGTTGACTCATGTCCAGCTTCTCATCCACTGTAACCCCAGGTCCTTTTCTGCAAAACTACCACTTAGCCAGTCAGTCCCCAGCCTGTAACTATGCTTGGGATTCTTCCGTCCCAAGTGCAGGACTCTGCTCTTCTCCTTGTTGAACCTCATCAGATTTCTTTTGGCTCAATCCTCCAATTTGTCTAGGACACTCTGGGCCCTAACCCTGCCCACCAGTGTATCTACCTCTCCGCCTAGCTTAGGGGCATTGGGGAACCCGCATGCATGCAGTTTTGAGCTCCATGTTTTGAGAAGGAAGTTGAAAATGGAAATGGTTCCAAAATGCAGCCACACAAATAACCTGAGAATGGACAAAGTGCCCAGCAGAGGGACTGAAAGTGATTCATTTCGACAATCAAAGACATAATCAAGGGAGATGTGCCGGGGTAGAAAACTGTAGGCGAGGACGGGCTTTTTAATGGAGCAGAGAAAGGCAGGGCACGACCCAGTGTCTAGAAGCAGAAACCAGACAAATTCCAGTTAAAAGCCAGGACCACATCTTTAGCACAGAGGGGGATGAGCTGTTGCTACAAACCATGAAGGGAAGTGCTGGATTCTCCAACTCCCCATGTCTCCAGATCAGACGGCAGGTAGAAGATCAGCTTGAGGTCTTGTCTACCCTTCAAAGGCTACAGCTGATCTGCCGTTGGACCTCAGTGCAGACATTGCTTACACCGAGGTCAGGGGTTCTCTTGCCAGCATGGGTTATCCATCTCCCAGAGAGGGGGTCACTGGGTTGGTGGAAGAACAAAGACACGCTCACTGGCAGGTCTTACTCAGTGCGGGGGTAACGGGGTGGAATGTAATGACCTGTGTTATCCAGGACGTTAGACTGGAACACTGAATGGAACATTCTGCCCCCGGAGCCTAGAAAACTATTGATAAAGACTCTAGTCTGGCATTTATATTTACGCTGTCTCACAACACAAGAAGAAGGGAACGTTTCCTTACATTGAGAGTCTCGCCATGTATCGCTGATGAACAAAAATTATTTACATATAATAGCTATGTCACCTCTTGAACTTCTTCCAAAGACATTATAGAATCCTAGAACACTAGAACTGGAAGGGACCACGAGAGGTCATCAAGTCCAGTCCCCTGCCCTCATGGGAGGACCAAGCACCATCTATCCATGAAAGATGTCTGTCCTACCTAGATGGTTTATTAGATGATGAGCTTTCGTGGGCCAGACCCACTTCCTCAGATCAAATAGTGGAAGAAAATAGTCACAACCATATATACCAAAGGATACAATTAAAAAAAAAAAGGGACCACGAGAGGTCATCAAGTCCAGTCCCCTGCCCTCATGGGAGGACCAAGCACCATCTATCCATGAAAGATGTCTGTCCTACCTAGATGGTTTATTAGATGATGAGCTTTCGTGGGCCAGACCCACTTCCTCAGATCAAATAGTGGAAGAAAATAGTCACAACCATATATACCAAAGGATACAATTAAAAAAAAAAACACATATGAAAAGGACAAATCACATTTCAGAACAGGAGGGGGGATGCGGGGG